ATATATATACACTGTCTTCATGAGTTTTAAAAGGAATGTAGCAGGGGAGAGGTCCTCGCAAAGAAAGGTCCAACCTTGGGCTCCTTGTCCAGTACTAATGACCACCTGTGTTCACACTTCAACCCTGTCAAGGAGGACTTCTGTCAAGGAGGACTTCTGTGTCCGACATAGTTGGTGTCTGGTGCATGCTGGAGGGAGAGAAACCCCTAACTTCTTTTCAGTAGATCCCTACACTGTAACATGGTGACGTGGTACAAAGATTTTGCTTGGCCAGTGGAGAAGAGGGCTCTTTCGTTTCTTCAGGACGGGCTGGTCTCCTTCCAACAGCTACAAGAACAGGAGGTCAAGTGACTCTTCCCAGCTTGTTGCCTCTGCGTGTGACACCCAGGTGACCTGTCTCTACCAAAGTGCTGACTACCTTCCCTCTCGGCCCTTGGAAAATATTCAAGTTTTTAATAGACAGGATCTATAATTAGGGCGGATTCCGGTGCCTTCAGCAGGCGAGGAGACAGGAAGCAAGACTTAGGATCCCTGCCTTAAACTCCGCACAGGCTGCTGAGAATTTCAAACTCTGAAATGACAGGAGGGAGGCTGGCCTCTGGGCACAGCTTTCTTGCTGACAATCGTGAAGGCAAGATGGACCAGAGCAGGGCAGAGCTTTGGGCTTCCCCCGCTCTCAGGAACTCCAGGTGGCTGGGAGCCTGATCCTGAATAGCTTCTGCCACTGACCTGAATTCTCGACAACCAAGACCACATAGAGACAGTTGAGAGCATGGTTAAGACAGGTGTTTAAGAGCACTTCTTGCTCTTGTAAAGGACCTGGGTTCAATTCCCAGCACCCATATGATGGTTCACAACCATCTGTAACTCCAGTTCTGGGGGATCCGATGCCCTCATCTGACCCATGAGGGCACCAAGTACACATACATACGATACACATACATACATACATACATGCAGTCAATATTCACACATAAAATGAATAATATTTTTTTTTTGGTTTTTCGAGACAGGGTTTCTCTGTGTAGCCCTGGCTGTCCTGGAACTCACTCTGTAGACCAGGCTAGCCTCAAACTCTTGAACTCAGAAATCTGCCTGCCTCTGCCTCCCAAGTGCTGGGATTAAAGGTGTTCGCCACCACCACCCGGCCAAATAAATCTTTTTTTAAAAAAATGTATAAGAAAAATGCAGATAATGGGGGCCCAAAGTCTATAAAAGTCATGAAAAGCATATCTCTGTGTATTTTATAGTTGACACGCTATCCTCTGAGAGTGGCTGGATGCGTCACACCCACTGTGGTATAGAATTGTATGTTGTGGGCTCTTGGGGCAGGGCAGCCTCCTAACTAACTCATCTTCCAGCCTGCAGACTGGAACTTCTCTCCACGGGCAGCAGAGCCTTCCAGATCACGGTGAAGTAGGAGGCAAAGGACACAGACTGTCTTCCCAAGTTCCTTTCTAAATGGCAGGCTTCCCCTACGGGCAAGCTCCGCACCCACCTACACCTTGCTGGGAAATTCTGGCTGGGGCAGAAATAGAGACCACCCTCTTCAGAGATGCTCAGACAGGTTTGGCTCCAATTTCTTGGGCAAGTCGGGCATCCTTCCACGGTTCGGGGATGCATGAGGGCATGACCACATTGCCACCTAAATAGGGGCCACAGCAATGCCAGGGACCCATAACCCTGGGTCTGGGACCTGGAGGCAAAGCAGTGTCTCCTACTTACCTGATGAGGTGAAAAGCCCAGATTAGGTGGTCCGTGCAGGGCCCGCGCGCAGTTCGGACGATGCTGAGGTATAAGTAGAGGGCGATGGCCACCGTCCAGAAGAAGGAGCTTGTGTTGGCGAAAGTAGAGAGCGCGCCCTGAAGGACACAATCCCACGAAGTGCCCGCAAAGTCCTGTAGCACTCCGTAGAAGTACGAGGCAGCCGAGAGGAGGTCTGCTAGCGATAGGAAGAGTAGCAGGCGCCGCGCCCGGCTACGCAGGTCAGGCCACAGGGCGTGCGTGGCCACCAGGAGGCCCGATCCCAGAGCTGACAGTGCACACGACAGCAGCACCACCGCGCGCTCCCACGGCAGCAACTCGGTGGGAGGCGCGGGTGAGGGCATGGCCGGCTGGGGACCAAGGGCAGATGGCCAGGGTGCACAGGCCCAAGGGTTCAGAGAGGTCGTGGCCAAGACGAGCCCGCGGTCGCCTCTGTCTGGGCATCTAGGCGCCCGGGCTCGCGTCCCCACGGGTCCCGCCTGCGTCCCAGCCCCGCCCAGTCTATCAACTATACAGCAGCGGTCTCACCGCGGCGCCCTCCACTCCCTGAGCCCGAGCTCTACAATCATACCGAGTCCTCCAGGCCCCTCCCCTGAGCTCTCCAATCCCCGCCCCTGAGCTCCTTAGTCCCCGCCCCTGCGGCCTGCGCCCCGCCCCTGCGGCCTGCGCCCCGCCCCTGCGGCCTGCGCCCCGCCCCTGCGGCCTGCTACGGCGCAGTAACACACTGGGATCTGATGCTCCAGTGCTCAGCCCCCGAGCTCTCTACGTCCCGCCCTGTAACCCCAGAACCCCGCCCAGCACCCCCACACCCCGGCCAAGCTCCTCCCGTGCCCCTACTTGCGATTGCTCCGCCCTGATGCTCATTCAGCCCCAAACTCAGGCGCTTCCCCACGTTTCCCTACGCTTCTGCGCCTCTACACTTCCCTCCTACCCAGAACCTCCCAGTCCTGTCCCAATCGTTGCTTTCTGCTTCCCAGAGCTACTCTAGGAGGTTAGCAAATGGCTAGGACATCCCGTCCTGGGGGGGAGGGGAGAATGACATTTTTAGGGCTAATGTTACTTTCCCCTGGTCAGCTTGCTTACGTGTGTGTTGGGAGGGGAGGGGCAGTTGTTGGAGACATTCTTTCCGATGGTGGCAAAAACAGGTCCAGAGCATGACCTACATTCCTGAAGCCTGGGTACTGGAAGTCTTCACAAGGTCTGTGGTGATTTGGGGGAAGTTTCTAACTTTTGTTACATTGAACGTATTGTTTTTGTGGAGCTGGGAGTGGAACTCAGGACCTTATACATCCCAATGAAGAGTTCATCTACTGAAATATATATATATATATATATATATATATATATATATATATATATATATATATATGTATGCATGTATGTATGTATGTATGTATGTATGTATATACACACATATACTTTTAGTTCCTTGTTTATTGTACATACCTTATTAGGTGCTATTTTAAAAATATGTTTTATTATTTTACGTGTGTGGATATTTGTCTGTATGGATGTACCTGTACTATGTGCATACAGTGCCCACAGAAGCTAGAAAAGGGCGTCAGACTCTCCGCCCCCCTGCACCATGGGGGGCTGAAATCGAATCTGATCCTCTGGAAGAGCAGCAAGTGCTCTTAACCGCTGAGCCGTCTCTCTAGCGCCAGGTGCGATTTTAAGGAATGAAACATTAGCGCCCTGAGTGATAGCCCTGGCAGAACAACACTGGTAATCTGAATTTGATTCTCAGGACCCACTTGGTGGAAAGAGGTAAGTTGTCATCTGACCTCCCCACCTGTGGGTGGCGCCGTCCCACCCTCATACACATAAAATAAATGTAATTTTAAATACGTAACGTGAAAAGAAAGAAATAAGGAAGCATTAGTTCCTAATTTACAGAGTCTTCTTCTTGTTCGAATATTTTGTATTTTGTATTTATATTTTGCAAAAGACCTAGCTTGCATATTCGGTGGCTCACAGCCACTTCTGATTGCAGCTGCAGTGCCTCTCATGGCCCTGATCTCTGAGGGCACTGTGCTCGCATGTACATAAGCCAGTATGCACACACATGCACATAAGCCAGTATGCACACACATGCACATAAGCCAGTATGCACACACATGCACATAAGCCAGTATGCACAGATATGCACATAAGCCAGTATGCACACACATGCATAATTCATAGTAATAAAAATAATTTTTAAAAAGTTTGTATTTTTTTATTGTCTTAACCTTGGCCCCTTTAGCCCTACAAGTCACTGGGTTTAGTGCATTTGCAAGTTTGTGCAACTGTAGTAACGGTCTAATCTGCAGCATTTGCTCTCCCTCAAGTACTTGGGCTGGAAAGATGGGTCAGCAATGAAAAGCCATCGCCACTCCCGCAGAGGGCTGGGTCAAATGCGTGTCTCTGTGAGGAATTCATGGTCCAAAGTGCCTGCATGCTCCTTTTCGCTAGTAGCACAGGAGGGGCGGTTTTGATTTCTCTCCACATATGTTTTTTTGGATGGGGTCTTATATAGCTCTGGCTGACCCTGAAGACGCTATGACCTCAAGTTTCTTGTCCCTTTCCCAGGTGCTAAGATTACAGATTGGCAACATCAAGCCCTATCTTTAAAAAAAATCATATTTATTTATTTAGCTAGCATGCTAGCTAATTTTATATCAACCTGACACAGGCTAGAGTCGTCCGAGAGAAGGGAGTCCCCAATGACAAAATTCATCCATAAGACTGGGTTGTGGGCAAGCCTGTAAGGCATTTTCTTAATTAGTGGTTGATGAGAGAGAGCCCAGCCCATTGTGGGTACAGCCCCCTTTAGGATGGTGGTCCTGGGTTCTATAAAAAAGCAGGCTGAGCAAGCCAGTAAGCAGCACCCCTCCATGGCCTCTGCATCAGCTCCTGCCTCCAGGTTCCCGCCCTGTGTGAGTTCCTGCTCTGTTTTCCTTCAGTGATGGATTGTTTACCTGCCAGTGTAAACTGAAATAGGCCCTTTCCTCTCCAAGTTGCTTTGGTCATGGTGTTTCATTACAGAACTAGTAACACTAGCTAGGACAGGAGTTAGACCCAGGGTAAAGGGTACTGCTGTGACAGACCAGACCATGTTCGGGGAAGGATTGCAGAAAGACTTTGGAACTTTGAGCTAGAAAAGCCGCTGAGCGTTGAGAGCTCAGTGAGATGCTTGGAGGGGTTTGGGAAATAAGAAAGTTGAGCACAGTGGAGAAGATAGAGGCCTGGCTTGTGAGTTACAGAGGGAAGCAGAGACTCCATGGGGCTGTTTGTGTGAAGGGTCTGTGGTTCTGGTCAGCAAGGGCTGAAGAGTCAGCGTGATTAACAGGGAAGCGGAAACACTGAAGTGAAACCTTTGCTTTACTGGGACGATTGACTCTGGACAGCTGGAGCTAAGAAATTAGTGGTGATTAAGAAGAGATCAGTATCACTGAGGTGAAATCTTCCGGGAGGTGTTTCCTCAGGTCAACACTTAGAAACTGTTCTAGAGGTGGCCTAGGTTGTAAGTTGAGCTGGCAATCAAACTTGGTGGTGTGAGAGTCACCCAGGTTGTACTGGTTTTGAGGGCATGAATGGGGTCACGGAGAGAAGCTGAGGCTTGGTACTGTGAGAAGCCACTGGTGAAGGCGCAGCCCGGGTATAGCAGGAGAGCCAGTGTTTTGGAGATGCCAATGCCGTGGGATGACCACCAAGAACAGCAGCGGCAGTGGAGAGGAGCCAGCTGGAAGCTAGGAGACAAGCTGTGTGTTAGAGGGCTGACCTGGAGAAGTGACCCCAGCCCTTTTGAGGAGCCCAGAAAATCATGAGTGACTCTCAGATAATAGGCATTGAGTCAGTTATGCTTTGGGGAGTTTGTTTTTGGTTTGTTTAGATTGCGATTATGCCCTGTTATTTTCTCTTGGACTAAGAAAGCATGTAACTTATTTTTTTTTTTTTATTTTACAGGAGTCCCCAACGGAAAAACTTTGGATTTTTAGAGACTGGGACTGAAACCAAACCTTTTCATGGGGTGGAGGGGTGCTTTACAAGACAGGGTTTCTCTGTATAGCCCTGGCTGTCCTGACACTCGCTCTACAGACCAGCCTGCCCTCAAACTCAGAGATTCTCCTGCCTCTGCCTCCGAAGTGCTGGGATTTAAGGCATGCACCACTACTGCCCAGTCTGAGACTGAATTTTGAAAGTGTTTAAATTGGTAAAAATTGTGGGACTTTTACATTTGTAATATGTTTTATATTTGTGATATTATTAATCTGAGACCTTAGGGATTACTCAAAACCAGAAAAAGTTATATATCTTAGTAGATGACATGTTCATGGATTAAGTTAATAAGGGCTCAACTGTGCATAATTTTACGTCAGTTTGACACAGGCTAGAGTCATCTGAGAGAAGGAAACCTCAATTGAGAAAATGCTTCTGTAAGATAGGGCTGTAGGCCATTAATGAGCCCCTTGTGGGTGGGGGGCCACCTCTGGTAAAGTGGTCCTGGGTTCTGTCAAAAAGTGAGCTGAGCAAGCCATAAGCAGTACCCCTTCATCAGCTCCTGCCTCCAGTTCCTGCCCTGTTTGAGTTCCTGCCCTGACTTCCCTCAGTGATGGACCATTATCTGAAAGTTTAAACCAAAATAAACCTTTCTCTACCCAAGTTGCTTTGGTCAGGGTTTCATCACTGCAATAGAAACCTTAACTGTACAGTTAGGTTTTTGTGTGTGAGAGAGTGGTGGGTACACATGGAGAAGCTAGAGGAAATTACTGTCCTTCCCCTCCATGCTGCGATGGTTTGCATATGCTCAGTCCAGGGAGTGGACTGTTGGGAGGTGTGGCCTTATCTGAGTGGGTGTGGCCTTGATGGAGTAGGTGTGTCACTATGGGTGTGGGCTTTTAAGACCCTCATCCTAGCTGCCTGGAAGCCAGTCTTCTGCTAGCAGCCTTCAGATGAAGATGGAGAACTCTCAGCTCCTCCTGCACCATGCCTGCCTGGATGCCGCCATGTTCTGCCTTGATGATAATGGACTGAACCTCTGAACCTGTAAGCAAGCCCCAATTGAATGTTGTCCTTATGAGAGTTGCCTTGGTCATGGTGTCTGTTCACAGCAGTAAAACCCTAACTAAGACAGATACTCTACCTAATTTCCTTGGTAGGGTCTCTCCCTGGAGCTGGGCTGGCAGCCAATAAATCTCACTGATATTCCCATCTCTACCCTCTTTGTGAACACATAATGTATACACATACACACACACTCACACACATTCTCACACACATACAAACATACACACACATTCAGACACTCACACATACACACATATATACATACACACACATTCACACATTATTCTCACATACACTGACACACACATACACACACAGATACACACATATACATACACACACTGATACTCTCTCTTTCTCTTTTTTTTTTAGAATTATTTATTTATTTTTTGTATATGAGTACACTGTAGCTGTCTTCAGACACACCAGAAGAGGGCATCAGATCCCATTACAGATGGTTGTGAACTACCATGTGGTTGCTGGGAATTGAACTCAGGTCCTCTGGAAGTGCAGTCAGTGCTCTTAACCTC